GTCCGGGGGGAACAGATGGATCAGGCTTGTTCTCTGCCTGCGGCGCCTCCTTTTTCTTTTCCGTTCAATTACTCTTGTCTTTTCGTGCCAATGCGCCTTGAAGATAGTTGAAGCCTTGTCAAGGAAGCAAAATAGCAATAGGACAGATACGTGCACAAGCTCTTATGTCTTAAGATCCCATACTCCAAGAAATAAACAAGCCGTGAACGAAACGCAGGACAAGGAAATAGCAGCACTTACACTGGCGAAGAAGCTCTTGTGACCAGAGCTTCTCCGATTAGAGCTCCCAGAAGTCATTTTAGCAATCGAACTGTCCTTCCGTTGGAAATTTCCTATAATATTATGACCCAGCACGCCGGGGAAATAGCTTCTAGCCTCGGCCAAGAGTCGCCCGACCGAACAGACAGCCGAATTAAAGGTCGTATGAATTTCTGGCGAAATAGGGCGCCAAAGTAGGGGCGAAATTTCTTCAGCTTATCGCCTGAGAAATCGATGGTATATTTTCCTCGAATAAGATGATGACAGATCCGGCTGTCTTACAGGGGATTCGTTGCAGAGACCTCAAGAATTGTAACTGGCTGGATCACATTAAGCCCAACAGTCGATGCGGTGAAGAAGCAAAGGAACAGCACAGACGTCATACCGCGGGGCAGTGAATGCCCACTCCGCTGTAGTAGATGAAGCAGAAGTAGGTAGATAATCTCTTGAAAGCCCCTTTTGACGAGTGTATATTCATACAATTGAGGGAATTTTCTGAAGCTGAAGAAAGGATGACTTCCACAAATGGTACCACGTGATGCTCTTGTTTTCGTCGGGTAAAGTCGCAGCCGTTGCTGGCCATCTGCCAGCTCTAACCAGACGGAGCAAACGGGCAGGTGACCAGCCTACTTTTTCTACCTAGGTTCGTGCGAGTCGAATTCTCGCCAAGCGAAGGATCAAAGTTAGGTTGTCTTTTTTTACTTGTAGTTTGAATTGTGCATTAGGAGTACGATGTACAGGCAAGAGACTCTGAGGTACTCAGGCATGTTGCAGGGATTATTGTCTATAGTATCTCTGTCGGAGCAATGGAATCTGGATCCTGGGGCGTGGGATGCGGTTAGTGCCTGAGATAACTGTTCTGCCGGTTGGCTCTTACCGCTTCTATCACCGCATTTGGTTGGTCCAGGTGGCCTGATTCAAGACATGACCGCCCTTGTCGCTAATCCCAATTCCATTCGCATCGCAGCAATAAGCGTTGATTCCGTGTACTGACACAGTGAGATGACTCTCATCAAATAAGGCTACTTGCAATAATACCAGGGGAGTTACAGTCTTTTTTAAGATATCTTAAGTGTACAAACGCTCTTTGCGCCAGTTGCAGGCGACGGTGGAGTAACACGGTATAGTATGTTGTTTCACTAACTACATCGTCTGGAGGTGGTCCTGTCCTGGGGGTTGAGGTTCCTCTTGATGCTGTGGATCATCCAAGAAAGCATGTTTCCCCCGTCCACCGCAATGCGGGGTGTTCAAGCATGGGACATGAGTATGGGTAGACGCAATAACGAAATTCTTTATCCCCATCTCCAGCATGACTCGAAACTGGGGTTGCTTTGTCGGCATCGGCGATGACATTTGATCGTCTGGCAATGCATGTCAAGGCAACTTTCGTCGATGAGATTTCCAATATGAGCAGATTCGCATGTGTGACGATCTATCTCGACCAACAATATTTGAGTGAGTCGATTATACACCGACAACAATATCGTTGGTGGCCGAAGCACCATTTGAATCAATGCGTGCAGACCACTTGTTTCTCCTTTCGTCAGAGTTACTAGTATCTCCACGGGCCTTCTGCACGCGAAGCTTCGCCCCCCAGGGACCTTCCTGGCCATTCAGGGTGTCCATGGCGTTCTGAGCCTCTTCCGTGCTGCTAAATTCAACGAACAAGTAGTAATGGTCACCAGGCTCGAATCTCTTCGCGGGATGAGGTGTGAACTGTTTGCTGACATTTTCACTTTTTTGGGGGGGAAAAAATTAGTCTCGAAAAGGCAATTCCATAGAGGGGAATTGCGGACATACATCTTGTATCCCTTGAAGAAGTTGGTAATATTTGTGGTGATAGCCTCAGGGTCGGTTAACTTAGGAAGACCGCCGACATAAAGGCGACGGCTGGAGTCGCTGTTGACCTTAGCGAAGGCGGGCGCATCGTTGCGTCTCCAGCGATCAAGAGCAAACGGGCTGCCATTGTCGCTGCGAAGCGAGCTCTCAGTTCGTTGCTGCTGCTGCTGCTGCTGTTGTTGTTGTTGTTGTTGCTGCTGCTGCGAACGCTCGCTTGCCGTTTTGGCAACTCCAGGTTTGATCTTGACAGGCCGGCCAAGCATATCACGGCCGTCCAATTCGGCCATTGCCTGATCCGCCAATTCCTTGGTCTCCAAATCGACAAAACAGTAAGAGGGATTGCGGCCGGTGAAAGGGTCTATCGCGATATCGATCCGCTCGCTGCAAAGCACTCAGTTTCGGCCATCTCCATACAAGAATTTCTATCTCCGTACATTGGGAAGTTTGCGGCGGTGAACAATGCTTGCACATCCTCCGACTTGGCCGTGTACGGCATGTTGCCAACGTATAGACGGCGGCCTTCAGAAATAGCCTGAGGCACGTGAGAGCTTGGTCTGCCGGATGTGAGCCTCGAGATATTTGCCTTTGGCCCGGGCGAGCCAGAGCTCTGAGCGCTCGGGCCTTCCTCGCCCTTCAAGCGCCAGTTTGGCGAATTGAAAGCGCGACCTGATGTTCTAACACCATTTTGAAAAGGCGATTTTCCGGGAGCTATGGACTCATCAGTCATTCCGAAACAATGGCACGAAGCGAATTCTTTTGGAATGCAGCCCCAAATGAGCAGCCCAAAGATATTTTCCTACACACTTTGTTGCTGCGGTACGGGACTCTCAGGACCATCGGCCATTGTGATTTTCTTTTTGGCAATTATTGACGAGAATATGGTTCGTCTCTGCAAGAACTGGGAAGATTTAGCAGCTGTGTTTACAGTGGTTGACCTTGATAAGATTAGATTTTCGCACCTAGAGGAATAAAATTCTTTTTATTTGTATCTGTTCGTGTAGACCAGCGAATGGAATGGTGTTCACTGCTAGATTGCCATGCAATTCAACAAGAGAAACAGGAAATTAAGTCGTCCAAAAGCCTGCTGTGCTGGCACAAATACTCATCAACAATTCCAGTCTGCCTATTGGCACCGAAACTTTTTTTGGTACCTCTCGACACAAAATATGCCAAACAGAGCAAAAGTCACAAACAGGACAAACATGGGCCAGCTTCTAATTGGCTCGTTAGCGAACCAAGCGTATTTATTCCAGCAGCAGTTCAACAATCACGATTTCATCATGTTCCATGTCGCCTTCTGCTGTGCGTCCTTAAAGCATGCCACTTCTGCTACTAACAAGATGGACTTCTCATGCCATCAGGCTGGTTATCATCTGAGCTGATTCACGCCAGGATGAAGCTGTATTTGATACGTCACGCAGAGTGTGGACATAACGTGGGACAGGCAGCGTACGCGTCTTCTGTTGACCTCAGTAGAATGGCAGCTGACAGTCCTTTCATATCGTCGGAACCCGCAGAGGCGACGAAAATGGCCACCACCTGACCGAGAACGGCAGGACGCAAGTCCTTTTGCTCGCTCGAAGCCTCAGGGATCGCATGATTCGCTTCACTCATGTTTTCTCCTCGGATCTTGATCGGGCTTCGGAAACGGCGCAAGGTATCTGCCAACAACAGCTGGCAAGTGGCGCGTTGTTGGCCCCGATACAGGTCCCGACTCTTCGGGAGCAACAGTACGGCTCTCTTGAAGGTACACGATGGCATTCCGGTGCTCCTGCTTCCAGCATCAGTTCCCCGGATGCTTTGCGTGGAGGTGAGCCCACGTACACCGACGAGGAGTCTGTCGTCTCCATGCGGACTCGTATGAATGCATTTTTGCAAGATCACATTATTCCTTTCCTGGTTAACGCAGACGTCGCAAACGAGGAGGTCATTGCTGTTGTTGCTCACGGCGTCATCCTCCAGGTTCTCTGGGTTTGTCTCGCGGATTTATTCAATCAAAGAGATGTCCACCTTGGCCCTGGTATCGGACAAGCTGACTTTGGGGACTACGTGCGCCCTGTATGGTCAAATACCGGCGTCATGGAACTGGACATCCGGCCCGCATCGATCGTACCACCGTACGTCCGTGATGCGGCGCGTCCACCTCCGTTCCTGCTCGGTTCCATGCAGCGACCCGAGTCATTCGAGGCCCCGCTGTCTGGATGGTCGATGACCGTTATGGCCGTCGACGATACAACTCATCTTGAGACCACGGCGCAGCAGGTTGAGCGCACGGGAGGGACTGTTCGCAATAGTCTCCAACCGTCTAGGCAGGAGACAGCCAATCAGTTTTATCGGCTAACTGGGACAGCATGATTAACATCTTAGGTCTTATGGACGCAGATTTATGCTTCAACAGGTAGGATACTACCCAATACTATCCCCGCATATCACGTTTCTCGTTTCCTTGCCTTCCCCTCCTTCCGTCCTTAGGGTCACTTCCTATGATGAAGAAAGATTTCACACAGACCTGTTCTGAGTATTCTATGCGGATCAACAATCGTTCCAACTGCTGTCTGAGAAAGTGACCCTTCCTTTTCTTGTTCCCCTCGATAGCGCGTCGTCATGGTTTTTACATTAATCATTTACTTGGGACAAAAATATTGACTTTTTACAGTGAAAAACAGACGGACTGTTCCGCGCAGGCCGCCGTGATGCCCTGCCACTTATTTCGTTGATGTTAATACACCGTAGACTCGGTTACTAGACCAATTATATGTGAAACCAAATTGCAATGTCATTTTCATTGAGCGCCGTGTCATCATCTACATGCGTTATGGTCGTATAGCGATGCAAAATTAGTATGTACATGTATTTACACCGACATCGCACAGCCGAAGCGGCTCAGTTGCAGCCTGATCTTTTCAATGTCCCCGCACGTATCTTGTCCTGCTCCAATCCGCAGTATTGAAAACAAAATCACTCGAATAACCCACCGGGTCTTCCCTCTCATACAGTATCTCTGGCTTCACCTGCCGACGCAAGATATACCTCTTAAAGAAGTACGGGATCTGGCGCAGTCCATACGCCGCGTGAAACCGCGTCGGCACCGAAAACACCTGGTCCAGCTCCTCCAGCGTCTTCCCCTTTGTCTCTGGCATGAACAGAAGCACCAGCACGAATCCGATCAGATTCCACGCAGCATACCAGCAGAACGCGCCCTGGTCTTTGAACGAATCGTGCAGTGAGGGCCACGTTATCGCAAGGAGGAAGTTGAAGAGCCAGGTTGTTGCTGTCGCCAGGGCCATGCCGTACGAACGGACGTAGAGTGGGTAGGCTTCTGCTGAGTAGGTGAATGGCACTGGACCCTCGCCGACGGAGTAGACCACGCCGAAGAGATAAAGGCCTAGCGCGACGCAGGCGAGCTGCGCATTGCTGTGTTCCGAGGTAGGGATGTAGAAGCTGAAACCGGTGAAGAACCATGCGAGGGCCATGAGAGGGAATGTAGTGAGAAGGAGATTGCGACGGCCGAACGTGTCGATAGTGTAGACCGCGGGGATGGCGAAGAGCCAGTTCACCACGCCCCAGCCGAAGGATGTGGCTAGGGCGTTTCGGGCTGATGTCACCTTGATGAAGATTTCGGACGAATAATACGCGATAATGTTCACACCACATAGCTAGATATTTGAGTTAGATAGCGGAAAATTTGCTATAGCTGGAGGGTTAATTACCTGTTGCAGGAACATAACGATCTCGGATGCGATTAGTGCTAGTTATATAGATCAAATACAGTCAAGTGAATACATCATCGCCAACCCTGCGAAAAGAAATCTAGCCCTGTGTCTTCTCAAGGTGCCGCTTGCTTTTGTTATGCCGATCAATATTAGAAGTCCGACGGAAAATATAAATATCACATGGTCCACAATAGTAGCGGTCGTCTGGACTTTCTAACCCATTGGTCAGCTTCTTATGGCTCATGGTGGTATTATGGACTCGGAGATGGGAAGCAGTCGTGAATGATATATGACATGTCGAGCAGTGATGTATTTTAGAGGCGATAACACGTTGGAGTCTTGCTCTGGTTCTCGGCCGCTGTCGCTCCAAACGTTCCCTTTTCAACTCTGGATCTGCTCGAACTTCTGCATTATGAACACGCAACTGCTCAAACCATTTCTGCTGTTGTTTCTCCTCTTTCTCCTTTCGTACTCGGTCCATTTCGATGAGCTGATCCTCACTCAACTGATCATTGACTTCAATACCTTCAATCAGGGGATTATGGGAAGATAACCCCCTGTATTGAAAGGACGCCGGCGACCACCAAGACTCATTGATTGGGAAGGAGTACATTACATCTTTCGACCAAATGGACCAGAAGACATAATGGAAGCAAGCTTCAAGTATGCGAATAAGCGCCCGGGACTTTGTTCGTTCAGGTGGTGTCGGTATTCCCATATAAGCCAGTATGGTAAGGTGGACAATCTTATAACCCTCATCCTTGACTTGTTTAACACGAGATGGGTCCCTAGCTCCTCGCAGATGTTGACCAAGTCGGGCCCAAATGCCTTGGGTGACATCAACTGAGCTGCCAACGTAGATGCAAGGCTCATGGCCATCTTTTTCCAGAACCATGAGATATACCCCCCATGAACTCTTTGGGATATGAGGATCGAGCTGCAGAAACCATCCGATGGGAGGAGGAGTTGGGGCTGAAAGTACTTCTTTTAAACCGGCACAAAAGGTAAGCTGAGAAAGAAGGTTGGTAAGCATTTCTGCAGTAGATATAAGTGCATGGTATCCTGGATTAATCCAAGAACTTGGTTGGTGGATAAGAGTCCAGCATATGGATGATACCAATGCCAGGGCATTGGTAGCCGACTCCAGGGCATCGGTGGCCGACTCAGGTGGATTGGTGGACATATTGTTACCATGGTGCCAGAAGAACCAGAAGAAGAGAACGAGAACTCAGCGCGACAGCCTCTATATGTGACAGTGACAGGGTGTGGGTGTTTCTGGCATGGAAAGTGCAACAATGGACCATTTGGGAAGGCGCCCCTCCCCCTCCGGCTACGACCAGCCCGAATGGGACATCTTGTAATAGCGGTTTTGGGACATGTACCAACGCGGTGACTCCGGACAGGAAAATACAAAAAAGCAAACCACGATAGCTGGGAACATGGCAGAGGCCATCATGAGGCGCCAATTGAGCCCGACAATGTTTGGAGGATCTAGGACCTCAAAGAAAGCAAGGTCCGCTGCATAGCCCAACATGATGCTAAACGCAGTCCACATCTGCCACTGCATCACCAACACACCACAAATGGCTGGAGGAGCAGTCTTGGCCGCATAGATGGGAACAGTTGCAGATTTGGTTTCCCTCCCCACCATGGCCTCCTCTCCGACCGACAGCCATGCTACCAAATCTCCCTCCTTAAATGACCAAGTGTTGACGAACCCTTGCCACAGGCAAGCGATGGCGGAGATACAGCATGTAATGAAGATGGTCCCGCGGCGACCAAACCAAGCGTTGAAAGGGACTGCCAGCCAGCAACCAAGGACGGCGCAGCACAGATATGGTGCGGCGTTCACCAGCCCGAGCAGCCAGCGAGACCGTGAGGTTTCATCGTCAATGCCGAATTGCGTCTTGTAGAAGATCTGAGCCCCATTGACAACCGTTTCATCTGTCGACAGCGGACTTAGCTTCAGCACTAAGTACACAAGCGTGGTTGATTCTGTCACTTACCCATTCCTTGCACCGCTGCTGAGAGAGAGCACAAGGCGATAACCAAATACATTGACCAGGGTTGCGACCAACGATGAGTGAACTCGAGATGTAAAATCTCGAATTCTTCTTCCGTTAGCAAGTTTCTGAAGGAATCGAACTTTTCAGGCTCCTGGGCCAAAAGGGCGCCTAACTCAAAAGCGCGAATGTCGGTTTCGTCGCCCATATGGTGTTCTATAGCGAATTTGATTCCTTGACTGCGCAGCTCCTCGTGACTATAACCTGCCAGTGGATTGGCGAGTTTAGCATTCAAGTTGCGTCGTGCTCGCTCTGCGGCCGTTAGATATCTGCGCTGAGGCAGGAAGGTGTTCGTCCTTTCTGGCGCATGTTCGATATCTTCAACTCGTTGTTCGTGGGCATCGTCCCCGAAAATATCAGAATCACCGGGTCCTGTCATCTTCTAATGAACGATGAAGCGAATCAGATGTATGCTTCTGATGTCTGCAGATGGCAGCGCTGTTGTTCAACAGGTCGGAAAGAATCAGCACAGTTCACTGAATTGTATCTTCGCATCAGTGCACGCTAATATCGCCAGGAGGAGATCGACGCAAGTTGATGGATTTGAAATCTCACACGATTTGCCGGGCTGAGTAGGTTTGCGGTAGAGTTGGATACCATCAAAGAGAAATTCTCTGACAAAGATTTGAAACGACAGGGCTGAAACTGACCATCGGCACTGAATACAAGCATGAATCTTAGTAACAAAGACAGGCAGAGAAGGTGAAATATTTCTTTGGGAGCCCTCGAGGACAAAGAAGCAAGGTGCTGGCTGCGCAGGAGAAGTACTTCCATGAGCACGATGCCCTTGAGCAGAGCCCCAGGCACGAAGACTCGAGGCTTTTCAGTGACGACAGAGATCCACTGATATTCTCTGTGATCATACTTTGCTTTTTCTACTCTTCTCTCTTTTCCTGCCCCTTCCTACGAAGGGTGTCAGCAAACAATGGTCATTGGGGGCGGCTGAGCAATGAGATCGAGGAAAATGCCAAGGATGCAGACAATGAAAGCAATGAGTCTCGTATTCCGCCCAGTTGCCGCGCAGCCACGTCGATTCGCTCTGTTGGTCTATTGTCCGGGGTTGACTGCTGTCCGAATTGCGGATCTCTGGGCCCTTTTCCGGTGCTCACTGATGCTGATCACCTTAAAGTGGAATCATCCATTCATCAATGGCAAATGATTAATCAGGCCATAAACTTGAGGCGCTAGATCACATTCGGAGGATAAAAATACAAGGATCAAAGGAATGGGACGCCCGAGAGTGGCTGGTTGTGATGAGTACAAGCTGACGGAGACGGGAAAGAGGGGAGTGATGCATAAGGGACCTCATGACAAGCGACAGTGACAAGGCTGTCACGCATTCTGTTTGACAATTTTCCCTCATTGAATCCAAGTTTCTGAGGCATATTTTCTCTTTGGGGACATTGAGCTGGTAATTCACGCAATTTGGCGCTGTACAGACTGACCGCCGCGATTCTCAAAGAAGTGTCCCTTGCCCATGTCTTTGCAATATATGTCACGGTGTTACTTCCCATGAAGGCCAGTCACTCCACCACAGAATACAGTCATTAATGCTAAGGCATATTTCGAACTCGGCGAGGCTTACTCTATCATGTGCAATTACTCGTCTCAAGAAGCCCAATAATGCATACCTTTTCATGTTTGAAGTATTCGTATCAACATGGAAGCCGTCCTCACAGCAAACCTGACAAGCTTGACAGTTGCATGATACATAGTTTCATATCCTAATAATAATTGCAATAATCTCTTGCTAAGCTGTACCGCTCTCAATTGGACAATGATCGATACAAAAAGGTGATGCTATAATGCCTTCGTTATATCAGTGGCCTATAGCCTTGTCCAATCCGTCATTTTGCGGGGTTGAGAGCCCCATCGGATCGCTGACGGCACGTCGGATGATATCAGGAGTAACTTATTAATCTTTCTTGCTATTTCTTGCTAGAAATAATAAGACTACAAGGGGATTGACCCCTTTCCGATGGACAATGATTGTCCCGTTCTGCTGGATTGATAGGTATTATTTCAAAGGGCTTGGTCGTTGCTCTGTCTATGGATTGAAAGAACCCCGCATTTCGGAGGACACTTGCCAGTCAGCCTCATAACTAACTCTACTGACATTGACATAATAAGGTATTAGTCCTTCCTGTAGTTCCTGTAGAGGCCAGAGCCAGAAGGGGAATGTTATTCTCACTATGATCTTGAGCCACGTGCTATATGTGGTGGAATGCTAGGCTGATGAGGTCCCCTCAGCCCCCATATTACTTGCATCGTCAGCCACCAGAAAAGGACATGATCCGATTTCCGGTTCTCTCCAAATGTCTAGATAATTTCTATGGATTAATCATCCGAACTAGGACGGTTTCTGGAGTGGAAACGCTTCTCGTCGGCTGTGCGGTGCGGGTGCGGCTTCGGTCCGCACCCCATACATAGGTATGATGATGTATGCATACTACATCCTAGCAGTAGGTAGGTTTAAAGCGCGGAGGTGTTCAACAACAACCGGTGCTTGCAACAGTTCATCCAAATAATCATTTAAACGGAGATCTGATCATCCACTATATATACTCACTCAATTCCCGTTATTCTGTCCATCGAATCCGGCCAGCGCCTGTCAGGTGAAGCAACATTTCATACAAAATGCTCGGAAAGATCGCCCTCGAGGAAGCCTTTGCGCTTCCCCGCTTCGAAGAAAAGACTCGCTGGTGGGCCAGTCTGTTCTCTACCGACCCCGAAACCCACGTCAAGGAAATCACCGACATCACCAAGATCCGTATCGAACACGCCGACAAGCATGGCGTCGGCTACCAGATCCTCTCCTACACAGCGCCTGGTGTCCAAGATATCTGGGACGCAAAGGAGGCACAGGCGTTAGCAGTTGAGATCAACGATTATATTGCGGAGAAGATCAAAGCGAACCCAGATCGGTTTGGAGCTTTTGCGTACGCCCACTCCCGCTTTCTGTAGTTCATCCCGAACTCAAGCCTGATATGATTTTCTAGGACTCTATCCATGCACGACCCCAAAGAAGCAGCCGACGAGCTCCGCCGCTGCGTAGAAAAGCACGGCTTCCTCGGCGCCCTGGTAAACGACACGCAGCGAGCCGGGCCCGACGGCGACGACATGATCTTCTACGACCAGCCCGAATGGGACATCTTCTGGCAGACCTGCACCGACCTCGACGTCCCCCTCTACCTGCACCCACGCAACCCCACCGGAACAATCTACGACAAGCTTTGGGCCGACCGCAAGTGGCTCGTGGGCCCGCCGCTGAGCTTCGCGCACGGCGTCAGCCTGCACGTCCTAGGCATGGTGACTAACGGCGTGTTCGACCGGCACCCCAAGCTCCAGATCATCCTGGGCCATCTGGGCGAGCACATCCCCTTCGACATGTGGCGGATCAACCACTGGTTTGAGGATCGGAAGAAGCAGCTGGGTCTGGCGGAGACGTGCAAGAAGACGATCCGGGAGTACTTTGCGCAGAATCTGTGGATCACGACATCGGGGCATTTCTCGACGACGACGTTGAATTTCTGCATGGCGGAGGTTGGGGCGGATCGGATTCTCTTCTCCATCGATTACCCCTTTGAGACGTTCGCGGATGCATGTGATTGGTTTGATCATGCGGAGCTGAACCTGACGGATCGGTTGAAGATTGGGAGGGAAAATGCGAAGAGGCTGTTTAAGCTTGGTTCGTATCATGATAGCTCTGCTTGATTTGGATAAACTGCCTGTCTATCTCCGTTTTTGTGTTTTATGGAGTGCCTAGGTCCCACAAAATGAGAATCATGAGCTCATGATATGTTTTATCGTTCTGGCCGTTAGTCGTTAATCATTTTTTTCCCTTTTCCTTATCCATATATCCACTTCTCCGTGCATTTCCTCCCATGATTTCTCCTGCTGGTGGCATGCATCAGCAGCCTAAGTCTGGCGACGCTCCCTAGCCGCGAGTTCCTGCCGGTCCTGCTCCTGCTGCGCCAGCTCTCTCTCCAGTGCACGCTGGTTTGCGTTCCAACGGTCGATCCAGAGCTCTTTGGACTGAGTCATCTCTTCGTACACAGGACTAACAATGTTGCGCTTCATGTGAACCATACAGTTGATGATCTTCTGGTAGTTCTCGATAACGTGGTTATGGATGTCCCAGAGAGAACCCAGCAGCTGGGACAGTTCCGCGCGTTGTTGGTTGAGAATCTCCTCGAGGATAAGCTTGCCATTGAAGCGCATCGTGAGAAAGCGAGTGTAGATGACGGTGTCATACAGGTCGAGGAAGACGGTGAGAAGGCGTAGCTCGTGGTCGCTTGGTTTCTTGACGTTTCTGATTGAAAGTGAGGTCAGTTCAGTCTGAGACGAGAGATGGTGTCGTAAATTGGAGGCAACTTACTTGTTAAACACCTCAGCCATGCGTGTATAGCGCTCGTACACCGAGGCTTGAGGACTTCCCGCGATCTGGGCCATGACGAACGCCACTTCATTGGCTTTGTCTACCTGCTTCTCCAGGTTGTTGTTCAAATGAGTGAGATACTGAATCATTTCATTTGTCATGACGCGGATCTTCTCTGTTTCCTGGGCGGACAACAAGTTTTCGGGCTGGGAGGCAGCGTGCTCCCGACGGAAGAGAATCATCTCCATCTGGAGGATCACGTTGGTCATCGCGACGAAACGGCGCATGAGTTCAGCTGGGATGTTGCCGCTAGGAATGAACGCCTTCATCTCTGCAAGCAGCTTCGTTTTTCTTTCTGCGATCTTGGCCTCAGTGAGGGGTGGGCGGATTGGGGGCATGAGTACGGTGGAGGACTTATTGGAATTGTGAGTGTTCCCAGGAGCGTTCTTTGCGCTTGGGGTAGCAGATTTGCCCTTCACAACAGGATCAGTAGCTGCGTTGAGCACAGGAGGATTGATGATGTTGGCGTCAATCTTCTTGAAACGAGTTGCTTCTTCGACAACCTTGGATATAGCGTAGTTGTAGGCTGCTTCGTGCAATTTGTCAACGATGGGAGGATTATTCTCGCAAGACTCGTAGTAGTCGGGGAATGCCTCACAGGTCGTTGCAGCACTGGCAGCCGAGACAGCGGGACTAACAAGACCTTGATTCACAGCCTGACCCTCACTGTTGCCACTGCTCGGAGTGTGAATATGAGTGTGGCTGTCGGTCAAGGCGGGAGCCGAGAGCGTTTTAGTAGGTGTAATGGGGGCAGAAGTCTCAGAGGCACTCGGCTGGCCCTGCATGGCGTCAGAAGGACCAGCTTGGACAGTCTGAGAAGAGGCGTCTGAGCTCTGAGACGTGCCCACAGCACCGAGGTGTCTCTTGATGAGCTTTATTTGCGCTTTCAGCTGCTGCTCAAGGTCACGACAGGCCTCAGTGTAGCTGACTAGTTCATGAGATTGAGTATCCTCAGAAGGAAGAGCATGAGTGTTGTTCTGGCAACCCTGACTGTCAGGGATGTGTTCATCTCGGCGTGCGATGCGTTCGTCTCGGCGGTGGTCTCCCATGCTGAGATCACAGTATCAGTTCGCAGTTTTTGGATAGAGAGTGTGTAGAGTGTGTAGACGTAGATAGTCAAAGAAACAGAGTGATAATCTACATGAGAAAGGTGTAAAGGAACACTGCAAGGAACATTTTCTGAAGAGAAGGTTGAGGAAGTAGTGCTTCTGGATAAGCGAGACCATATGGCAGTGAATACTCGCGAGTTTGTTGATCCTAGAGGTCACCTCAGACTATTCACTGAAAAATGGTATAGGACAGGAGGACTCCAGCTCAGTGATGTGAGTTACCGATGTATAGAGGAATATCACTGTATGTTTCCACCAAAAAGAGTTTTAAAGAAAGAATCACTGAAAAGGGACATATTAGCAGTACATGACGAACTCATGTTGCTTCACATCTTGTTAAATCTAGGAAAGTATCTCGTGTTTCAAGTCTTCGACCAGTAGCTCAGTGCAACTGAATCTTTAAAACAACATCAGGCCACCGAATCGCTCTTCACACAAGTGCCGTCTTTTCAGATGGTCGTAGAGGAACCTTGACCATCTGCATACGAAGTTGACTGTTCTTTCGGCAGTTGGGGCATATAAAGATTGAGGAAAGGAAGCCACGCAAGGGCACATTTCTCCATATTTCCACGCCATGATTTCCCAGTGAGTTCGCTGTAATCAGGCAGCGATTGGTCTTATATCTCTGACCATGTAGCGGATGTCCATCACACTAGCTGACAATTCATGGAGAAGTGGCATCAATGAGCGAGAGTAACGCGTGTACTGTGCAAGCATGCATAGACGGCGCGGGGACATTGTCAAATACCAAGATTGTTCCAAGTCACCTTCAGATTATACGTCCTGGGCAGCAGTCAAAGCATTGAGGGATTCGAGACTCGCGTATGATGTATGGCAGTCGAGGCTACTGACAATTATGGCAGCGACGACAAGCTTCTGTGGACTGCAAGGGATGCGAATCGATATCAGCAAATATTACGTATTCAAGCACTGGATTGATATCACGAGAAGAGAATAGATTGACAACTACACTATATGACAGTATGATGTACTGCACCTCAATCTAGAAAACGCTCACTGCTGGAGCGGCCCAAACCGATGGAGTCAGAATGCAGTTCGATCCTCCCTCTGGGACCGTCTGTTTCACGAAACAGAGCAAAGAAGGAAAGGACAAAACGCCCTGTTCCAGATGCTCTGCTTCACAAACGAGACCCAGAAGTTAACGAGGATCAGTATCGTTCTCCGCACATTGACTGATTGGCACCTCATTGACAGGAGCGTGACAACTCAAAGTAGTGCGTGGAGGATTACAGAAGGCGTTGGACTTCTCCGATGAATGCTAGGATCAAGCGCATTCAGTCATCCTTTTTCGATGACTGACGTCCTTCAGCGGAAGTAAATGGCTCGTCTTCGTCATCGTCGTCAGGCAATGGAACATCCATGACGCGTTCGCCGGCTTTCTCCAGTGTCTTGCGACTCCAAGTCCTGACACCTTTCCAAACAGCCTGTATAGTGCGATTAGTGATTGATGAAGTGCGATGCTCTCGCCGCGTTGACCTACCCATAGGAAGGTACCAACACCAATGAGGATAACTATCCAACTGATGGAAGCTGCTCGACTCCTGCCGGTGGTCCTCCCACTGCTGACGACACCTGAACTGCGCAAATTCCACCACTGCCATGGGCTCAATGCAAGTATGGCCTTGATGAATGACAAAAGACCTAGTGAAGCCAATCCTTTCACGAAATGCTCTGCCCAAGATGGTCTTGACTCGTTCGGCAAGGCGCCCGACACAGTGCTAGGCTCCCAGTATTCCTTGTAGACTATCGTTTCCACCGGGTCCACATAAAGATTGATGATGGGGTCAGCAATAAAACCAAGCAAAAATACTGTAAACAATAAAATGCTCAAAGTTAATACAATCTGGGTAGCTGCACTACTGATCCAGTGCGCCCACTTCAGACGTTCTAGCCTGTACTGAAACCCGCAGGTCGGGCACTGCCAATAGTGTCTCTTTCCATAATCAGGATCTGCATGGCGCCAGGACTGAAGGCATCCCTCGTGAACGTAACGCGAAGAACCTTTGCATTTGCAGGGGCGAAGAAGCCGGCCAAGCTCTGGGTCAGAAGACTCATAGACGACTCGCGGCTTGGGCTGGAGGAATCCTGGCAGGTTTTCCGAAGGGGGATGGAAGGTAGGAGGGACTGATTCCAAGCAGATGCGACAAGTACGATTGGGATAGTGTTTCTTGGGAGGCTCGGGGCATTCAGAAGCCGCGTTTTCGTCACTGGACTGGTAAGTGTTTTGAGGTGTCTGGCTTGACTCCGAGTTCATTGAAGTATTAGAAGGGACGCTGGAAGGCCACTGCCAGAGTGGCTCACTATGCACATTCATACTGCAATGGAATGCTCAGAAGCCTAAGTCACAGCATATTAACCAAATCTACCAGAGATCTGGTGCGAGAGCATCCAGCGAGAGCTCAGGTGGTATAAATACAAGGGTGTTGGTGTGTATTATTTGTGGGAGAGTGAGAAAGGAAGAGAAATGGGAAGGAAAAAAGCCCTCAACCAGCTTAAAAGAAGCGATGTGGAGCTTCGGGACAGGAGGAGCCTCAGGCAAAGAGAGCACTAGCTGCTCGCGTAAGCCAGTTCTGGCATTTGTATCGTCACCGCCCCAGGCGCGGCTTGGCACTGGGCGGATGGACCTAAGCTGCTGCTGCGTCAACACCTTGTCGCCTGTTGCTCGGAGGAGGAAAGCTTCACTCGAACTTCAGCAATTTCATTTTATCTTCATATTACCCTGTCCATCTTTTTGAGAGCTCTACCACCTTCTTCAGAGCTTCTAAAATTGAAAAGACGTCTCCATGGCTGATCGCTACTCGTTCTCTTTGACCACCTTCTCCCCCAGGTAAGAGGAGCTTGTTGCAGGTGACACTTTAGATCGTCGGATGCTAACAAGAGCTTGCAGTGGGAAGCTGGTACAAATTGGTACTGCGCTTGGTCTTATTCTGTTGAATTTTCAATGCTGATTGAATCTAGAATATGCCCTGAACGCTGTCAACCAAGGCGTAACTGCCCTCGGAATCAAAGGTAAGCTTCATTCAAATAGGCTGACTGCGCTGGCTACCCAGAATAGCTTCTAACCATAGTCCTTCTTCTTAGCGACAAATGGAATTGTTCTCGCTACCGAAAAGAAGTCGTCCTCCCCTCTCATTGACCCTCCCTCCCTCTCCAAGATTTCCCTCATCACACCGGATATCGGTATGGTCTATGCTGGAATGGGTCCGGACTACCGTGTGCTAGTCGACAAGGCTCGCAAGGTCTCTCACACTGGCTACAAGCGCATCTATAACGAGTACCCTCCAACTCGGATACTGGTGCAAGACGTTGCACGTGTCGTGCAGGAAGCAACACAATCTGGTGGTGTCCGACCATACGGCGTTAGTTTGCTGATCGCTGGCTGGGATGAGGGTATCGAGCCCGAAACAGGTGAAGCTCAACGCGGTGACGAGGAGGGTGACCTCAAGAAGGCTACAGTAGCTACTGGTAAAACTGGTGGTATCCTGAAGGGTGGTCCCAGCTTGTACCAGGTCGACCCCAGCGGCAGTTACTATCCCTGGAAGGCCACGGCCATTGGAAAGCATGCAACCAGCGCCAAGACCTTCCTGGAGAAGCGCTACACAGAGGGGCTGGAGCTTGAAGACGCCATCCACATCGCCCTCCTTACTCTGAAAGAGACTATCGAGGGCGAGATGAACGGAGACACAATAGAAATCGGTGGGTTCTACTTATCTAGATCAAAGTATCGCAATATGAAACACAGAGCTGACATATGCAGGCATTGTTGGCCCTCCTGCGGATCATCTTCTGGGATATGAAGGCGTTGAAGGCGCCCAAGGCCCCCGCTTCAGGAAGTTGACCAAAGAGGAGATTGAAGATTATCTCACCAATCTATGATCGATTTTTGTTGGCACTGTTTTCAACTCTGGCAAGCCTTGTAGCATAATAGACGATTCTTGAATTCTACAAGGTCCCTGCGACCTAATGATCAAATCCATACGAGCATTGCCCCTTGAACTTAAGTGGACACTCCAGGGATACTTGCGACCACTGATAGGGCACTCAATTGAACTGTGAGTGGAAATCAAGGCATTCTTGAGGTACGCTATGACTTGCGCAGTCTCATAGATAATCCATGAGAATGAAGTGCAGCTGGAGCAAATGAGGGCATTCCTTATAGTGTACTGTTTAATTCTCGGGAGAGCATCGCAAGCATGTGTTCACCCTCTCAGACATAGGATCAGATATCGATCAGTGCCCTCGTGCTGTTGTTGCCTCATCTGCACACAACTGCCAAATGGTACTTCAAATGCACGATGCACTTGAAGGCCCGTTCAATAACCATAAGGCAAATTCAGAGAAGGATCATGCCAGCACCAACAACTCTTCTCACAACTCATGTAACCTCTTATGGGGACTCGACGCGGCGACAAACGGGCCCATGCATGTTCTGTCCTACAACGCAGCCTAAATCACGATATGCCTCACCCATGTACCTCCCCATCAATGGTACCTATCGTAGCTAAACCAAGTTCCCTTCCCCCACAACGACCATCAAATCAAGCATAATCAAGGCTCGGGACATTTTATCTCTCAGCTCACCGATGGTTGGGTGAGAGACGTCATCGCAATGCTACCCGCAGAAGGATTGGCCATACTTCGTAGGTAAACTTTTGGCCCCCCGGACTATCTAGGCCTAGACGCAAAAGTCACGAAGGAATGCCGGAAGGCAGGGAAGGCCCAGGACCCTTTCCCACATCAATCACACGCATGCAGTTGCATTCGATCATTGTTTGCTCTGGGGGAAAGACGAAAGCAGGAATCGAGGGTACACAGCAATAAGGGGAGGATTTATCTCCGACGGGAGAGTGAACAACTTGTACTACCCCAGGGTTGAGGAGCGCTGTGCGTGGTATGCCCCGGGTGGATGTACAATTTTTCGTCTGTTTCTTGGTCCACCTAGGGTACATTACATGTTGTCTGTTCGCTACTTGAGGGTCAATTTAGTCATGAATATTTGGTCGCTGGGTTTGTTCGGATAGAACCAGGCATCTACGCTTGGATTTAATACGTTGGTGATTTCTGAGCGAGGAACGCCCACTGAAAAGATACGGGAGACTGGCTGCAGAGCAGGAGAGGACACTACTGCTGCTACAATTTCGAATGATTGAGTTTCGTGTTTGATTCTCTGTAAGTCGTGATCCTTGTACTGCGACCTGGCCTATGTTCATGTCCTAACCCACACACAGCAAGACAATCCATGCCAAATCAACATAAAGCGTGAGATGTCGAGCATTCAAGATCCGTTGGACGGTATCTCGGGTGAGCTTGCGAACCACAAGGACGGTCTCAAGGCGACTCTCTTCATCTTTAGCGCCATCTCCTTCTACAACGTCGTTGAGCTCGTCGTGCTCGTGCTATCGACGTTCCGGCGTTGGAGAGGCCTCTATTTCTGGAGCTTGCTTCTCTCCGGATGTCTCGGGGTTGTCCCATACTCGCTAGGATTCCTGCTCAAATTCTTTACCGCGGCAAATTCCACTTTGTCGGTCACGATGCTCAGCGTGGGCTGGTGGACAATGGTGACCGGGCAGGCATTTGTGCTCTACTCGCGCCTGCACCTTGTTCTTCGCGATGAGTGTATCCTGCGACGGGTGCTGGTGATGATCATCGCCAACATCTTCTTTCTGCATATCCCTACCACGGTCCTGACGTACGGATCCAACGTTGTCGATCGATCGCCTGTATTCGTGCAAGGGTACAATATCATGGAGAAGCTCCAGATGACCGGCTTCACGATACAGGAGGTGATCATCTCGGGTCTCTATGTATGGGAGACGGTCAAGCTGCTCCGGCTGGGATCGGACAAGGATAAGCAGAGGATCATGCACCAGCTCGTGGGCATCAATATATTGATTGTCCTGATGGATTTGGCCCTGTTGGGCCTCGAGTACGCCAGCTACTACGCTATCCAGATTACACTGAAAGGCGCGATATATAGCTTAAAGCTGAAGTTGGAGTTTGCCGTCCTTGGAAGGCTCGTTGATGTGATACACGGACATAGACGACCCATGATAGGCAGAGATGCCGTCCACCTCTGTTCGCTGGAATTCAATACCGGCCCGAACAATGGGACTGTTCAGCCAGGTGTGAACGGGGATGTCAATGTATGTGAGATTTCGGCGATCAACAACGTCGAGGCCGAAAAGATGAAGAGGACAACCACTAGGAGTCTCAATGGGCAAATCCCAGATGGCAAGATCCTGGCAATGACTGAATTTTCGACATGGGTTGAGCAGCGGTCCCATGAAGATGGTAACCGAAGGATGGCTTGAGCCATTGGTCCTAATCCCCTCCGTAACGATTGAGTTTGTCATGTCGATACGTTAATGACTCTTTTTGAGATAATTGTAGCATATTATAGCTTATAATGGTGAGGCCGTTGTATGTCGTTCCAACGATCGCTTGTATGACTTCAGAAAATTTGAGCTCGGACCATGGAAATGATCAAGCGCAACAGGCAGCGAGGTTCCTGCCTGGACCTTCAGGATGAGTACTGTGAGTTCATCAGTCGTCAGCAGGCCCTCCAACCAAGCCAGCATCGTCACCATCAACCCATCCAAAGTCATCGTCGGAATCGTCCTCATCCTGACTGTCCGCAATCTCGTCCACTTTCCGCTTCCGCCCACCCGCACGGAAAGACTGATCAACCGGCTGCTGTGGAACAGCGCGGGACGGCTGAGTCGTGTCCGTCCGACGTAGAGAGCCCTGTTTCCGTCATGTCAGTCGGATGTTGACACAATCCCATTTGTCTATAGGGTGATCATTACCGAGTCGATCGTGAATGGCACGATATTCTCATCTGACCTCACTGGCAATGCCTTGCCATCCCTCTTCAAGACTTCTGCATAGCGGACGCTCCTTGAAGCCATCTCTGACTCTTCATCTTCAACGGCCGGGAGATCGCGATACAGGACGATGCGGGTGTACACGCTATTCTCCCACGCGCCACCTGCAAGCAGCGGACTAAGGGTAGCACGTGGCAGTCCTTTGATCTTTGTGTGAGTTTGGTTGATGAGAAGCACGGCCAGTCGTCTTGAAGCCGCCAGCTTCATCAGCTGGTTTGCAAGTTCGCTCGTGACGTTCCATTTCCGGTTCATGAGCCAATGGACCTGGGACTTGTCCGTGATCTTCGCCTGTGAGAGGCGGGATTTCATCTCCGAGGGACTCAGAAAGTACGAAGGGAACGGCCCTGACACAGAGTCGACCACCAGAAGCTTGGTGTTTTCGGGAGGGAATCGTTGTGGTGGGTGGAGCAGAAGCGCTAGCATATGTGGCAGGGACTGAGCGCGGAAGTAGACTAGATTGTCCATGAGTTGTTCTGGTGTATCAGACGATTTGGCTGTGTCGAGACTCTGCATCAGCATGCTCTTTAGACGGAGCTTTGGAAGTGGCGAGGTAGTATCTAAACTGTCAGCGATAATCTCGGACAATTGAGGATGTCGTACCAATCCAAACCACTTTACCACCATCACATAGAGCGTTTGCGGTTATGCTCATTCTGAGATATACAGTCAAGATTAGGCTTGATTGGTTCACCATAGGGTCAGTTCATCTGCGGTGAAACTCACGCCAGCGCCGTTTTGCCTGCACCAGGTGGCCCGAACACCTCGGTGACATGACCACAAGGAATTCCCCCCAGCGTCGCATCACTCGACGACTGTAAAGGATCATCCGAAGGAGCCGGTCTGATTGCCTGGTCAAGCCGTGGGAGTCCTGTTGAAATTTCACCAGGGACTGGCGACGCGGTAGACGCGTGCAGATACTGCGATGCAGGGAATGAAATGACGCGACCTACGATAGAAATCAGCAATATGGCACGGAAAAATTACGGATCTAATAACCTACCAGGATCTTGACTGGACAGACCGAGGATATCCTGCGCGCTCATCGTGGCACTTGACAGGCGGGGGTGAGACTCAAGGTGGCAGGTTCAGGAAGGAGGGAAAATTGACGATCTAGGACATTACTGCACTCCAGATCTTGCATTGTTCTAGTCTGCCAGCTTGACCTTGTCTGACCTTTGCTGAACCATATATCCGGCTGCTGTCCACCGAAATGAATGGTTGATCACCAGAGTATCAACAGATGTGCCAACTCCACCGCGGAGACTTTCTGATTGTGGATGCTACTTCGTATACGAAGGATCCCGAATTCCGCCCTGATGAAGTGACTCATCTCCACAATTATTTCGTCACCTCGGCCGCTTATACTCCCAAATTCAATATAAAAGAGCAAGTTCACCCTTAGGAAAAGGTTTGAGTGATTTACAACTGCTGCTGGGTTTGCATTTCGCTGGCGACTCCTCAGGTCTTCTGTAAAGCACGTCTCATCAATGCTGAGTGAACCTACATTCAGCTTCACCAACTTTCAACAAGATGCTGTGAAAGCTTTACTGTCGACTACAGCCATTTTGCTGCTTTCCATTTTACCCATAGTTATCTTCATTGTTCGCCAATATGGCTCCGCCCATCCAGCGCAGCCGAGAGGATGCCGCAGGCTAGGTCTACCACCAGGCCACACAAATCTCCACGACGAATTCGACCCCAAGTATGGCCGGGGAACCTCATGCGATGTCGATGACAAAGGCAAGCCTTCATGGCGTATCAAAGCTCTCTTCACTCACCCCATTAAAAGCTGCGCTGCGGTGGAATTAGACGTCGCCGATGTCGTGTCGACCGGATTCGCGTTCGACCGACAGTTCTGCTTCGCGGAACACTTCACGCCTGACCAAGCGAGCGCCAACAATGGGAAGGCACAGCCGTACTGGGATGCGCGGACTCTCCGAAATGGCCATTACAGCCGGCTGACGTTCATCCGGCCTGAGATCTGGGTCCCTGACCCCGCTGCCCCCGACTACGCTCCTGATCTGGACGAGGTCCGGTCTCAGGGTGTGATGGTCATGTACTACCCACGACCAGCTGGTCGAGGTCTTTTGTCATGCCTGGTCAAGTTGGGGGTAGCCCTGCGTCTGGTGCCCCGGGAGCTGTCATTCAGTGTTCCGCTCGTGCCGCCACCAGACCGTTCCAGCGCTTACCCTTCCGTGCCTGTGAAGATCTGGAAAGATACCCCGGTGGCCTACGACTACGGCGGGGATCTTCCGAGGTCCCTGCTGGAGTTTCTAGCTCCCCCAGACGCCAACGCCGGGGTCTCTCGTCCTCTCACCCTCTTCCGTGTCGACCCCACGCACCTCCGGCAGGTCTTCCGCAACGCGCCCCGCAAAGAGGAGCTGGGATTCCAGCCTGTGACAGGGTTCGCGGACGCGTTTCCCCTGAATATCCTCAACATCGCGAGTGTCCATGACGTTGCGGCGCGATGTGCACGGGATATCCCGCAGCTCTCGGTGCGGCGGTTCAGGACGAATATCGTCGTCCAAGGGCCTGAGGCGTTCGCGGAGGATCACTGGAAACGCATCCTGATTCGGCCAACAGGGCTGAAGAGTGACGATGACGCCGGGGTCGAGGTACATGTTGCCTGTCGGACGATGCGCTGTCGGCTGCCGAATGTTGACCCCGCCACGGGCATCCGGCATGCGTCTGAGCCGGATAGAACGCTGAAGAGCTATAGGCGGATTGACCCTGGGGATCCGACGAATGCGAGTTTGGGAATGCAGTGTGTTCCTGCTGTACAGGGTTGGTACCGGCTCCGGTGACGAAAGATCGATTTACTAACCGTCGATAGAGTTCGTCATTCGTGTAGGCGATACTATCTCACTGCTAGAGACGGGCGAGCATTATTATATCAAGTTGCTGAAACCGGGCGAGATTGTGGAAGGAGTGTAGGTCTAGCTGGTAAAAGCCATTACCCGGAACCGGCGAACTATTGTCATTCTACGAATTCAGGAGCGAAATATAGTAATAGAGGAACGCTTGAAGATCATGGTTTGAATTATATATCCTCGGTAACAGTACCAAAGAAGGGTATCCAGAAAGAACATCAAAACAACATGACGCACGGGCAATGCCTCCGCAGCCATTCAGCGTAACATAAACTAATCATACAGCCAGAGAGCCAGATGGTTGCCCTTCTTTGAACGAAGAAGGATCCGAACCTTTCAGCTCCTCCGACGGCGCATCGCTTGCGGTAGCCTCCATGATGGCCGCCTCGTCTTCGGGATCTTCCGGAAGCACGAGGTTGAGGATCAACCCGATAACAGCGGTTATTGCAAATCCATTTTCCATGACAAGTTCCACAGCGTTCAGAAGACCCTGCAGGGCATGATTATCGCCTCTATAGGTGAAGAAGTACGCAAACCAGTCGGGCACCAGCGTGGCAGCCATACCGACCGCGAAAGAGGCCGTCAGGATAAACCGGTTGCGCCGGGTGAATGGGATCGTGGAGATGATACGGATGCCGGAAATTGCGACTGAAGAGAACAGGAACGTGGTCATGCCGCCGAGGACAGGCTTGGGAATGGCCACGATGGCGGCAGCGAACTTGGCAAAGACGCCCATAACAACGAGGAAAAAGCAGCAGCAGTAACCGGCCTTGCGGTTGGCGCATTTTGTCAGAGCAATGACACCGTTGTTCTGAGCGAAGACCGACATGGGTGTGATAGTGAAGAGCCCAGCCAACAGGCAGGTCAATCCATTGCCCAGGACACCACCCTGGACGCGCGAATCAAACTCGGCGCCTTCGACTTCGAGCTGGGAGACGTCGCATGTCGCAGTGATATCACCGATCGATTCCATCATGATAACGATGTAGAGTGCGAGGAAGGGAAGGATCAGAGGCGCGTATATAGTCAATGGGAACGTTTTCACCCAGATGAACGAGACAACAGGCGCAGAGTCGATGCCCGATCGGTCGAAGTAGCCGCACGCAGCTGCCACGATACACCCTACCAGAAGACCGACCACGACGGCGCACGATTTCATAATAGGGGAGCCAAACCGCTCGCAAAGGATGATCGTCACGAACACCAGAAATCCGAGGCCGATGAACTCCGCACTTCCCCAGGGGAGGGCATGTGGCGCACCAGCACTGGGACACAAAGCACGGGCAGATGGGTCCGATCCACAGCCAGAGCCACCAGCCCAGTCCTTCATGCCGCTTTCGATGAGGCTTGCCCCGATCAACAGGACCGTAGGACCAGTCACCATAGGGGGGAAAACGCGTTTTAAGATCCTTGGGCTCATGAAGGACAGGCCAATCGTAAGTAGGGAGCACAAGCAAGCAGTGCCCAGAATAGCTCCGTAACCTCTAGGGCACGGCAGCTTGTTGCCGTTGGTATCAGTGGGGCAGTATCCAGATGCATACATCTGAGAGAAAGTTCCCGTTGCGACGGTAATGGTGGAGAAAGAGGTGCCGACGACCGATATCAAGCCAGTACCAATGAAGTATCGAGTCTTCCAGATGCGTAGGCGGGCCATCTGAATAGCGGATAGCAGACCGGAGGTGATCAATGACGTGGAAACGAGGTACTGGTATTCGGCATCTCCGAAGTTGGCGCCGCTAGAACCGCCCAAGATGATGGGAGGAGATATGACTTGTAACCATTAATTAGTGGCAGATGGATGGACAATATTCCTGAGCTCACCTCCAGCCAACATCGCCAGAGCATGTTGAAGACCCAGAATGAAGGCAAGTAGCACAGGTAACCTGTCATGCAGTCCAAAGAAAGGGGCCGTCCTTCTGATGTTTTTGGTAAAGGGGATTCGTGGTGTGAAGAGGTAGGCGTAGTTGTAGTCTCCAACCAATCCTTCTCTGTTGTTAATCATGAATGGATTAGCATACAAAGATGATAGGAGATAGGCACGAGGGCTCCTATCCGACTTACTTGGTGGTCCATGTCTTCACAATCCGTCGAGCTTTATCGCGGAAAGTCCGCCTGGGACTGTGATCAGGACCGATTCGATCGGGACCGTCCATGGTGGATGAGGTAACGAAAGGTTTGTGCCGATGGCCCTCCGTACGGACGATGTTGCGAGTTTAGTATTATTCGCAATGACTGTGAAATGTGGAGTGTAAGAGAATGGCTGGTTCTAAGCTTTGTTCTGCTGCTGTGGCACACACAATGTGCGGGGAAGAAAAATCCCGAAATCGGTCAATGATGAAATCAGTCAATGACTCAATCTTGGCCGAACAAAATGGAGCTGTTCAGGAACGAGTCTGGGGATTCTGCTCCCGCAGTTTGAACGGAACCGGAGCGTCCTATATAAGATGAGCATTTTGCGAAAATGGCGAGATTAGATGAGGATGCTAAAAGTGTTACAGCGATATGGCTCTATCAAAGCTGATAGAATCAGGATGCGTGAATCAATCGAATAATTCTGGCGATTGGTTATCTCTCGTGTCGCGTGGAATGATTCTTTTAGCCGATAGATAGCTAGCGACGATTTCCACTCTCCGGCAATACAAGAGGACTTGTACTGGCGGACCGGCCACTAATCACAGTTAGTGTCGTTCCATGTGGAACTGCCACGATTGACTCGTGTAAAGGTGATAAGAATCGCCCTAGCTGACAGGTGCTGTTTGTGTAAAATCCACCCGTCTTATCAGCAAGGCGGGGGGCGCCGAACTTGCACAGGCTCTGATAGCTATATGCCGAACGACATCTGAGTTTATCCTCTAGTTCCTGTCCCTCTAAGTTATGATGAGATCAAGGTCGACCTTGACAGACAGGAATGTGCCTGGTTTGGCATATCTCTGGATAGAGAACTGTTAGAATTACTGCCGTTAAGATCAGAAACTAACAATCTAGTCGATTGAGCGATCCATAGATGGATGGGCCCAAGGATTGCTCAGCAATAATAGCTGGCCTATGGTCACGATTGTAGTTACTAATAGATTGAGCTGGCATGCCTGATTTGGAATTAGTACTTCGGTAGTTGGATGTATTATGGGGTATCTACTCATGCTCCATACTTAAAACTCAACATATCCACCTGCGAACCCCAGGAAGACCCCTGACAACCTAGTGACAACTCGAAAAGGATGATCATTCTCCCGACATGGCATCTGCCACGCCTCCTATTCTGATGGACAGGGTTGAGATTCAACCGAGTCGTTGGCTGAATTGGTGCGGCCTCAATTTCTGTCGTCCGTCAGAGGAACTGACAGTGCCCGATTTGAAGGGATGTCTCAGGGTCATGATTCTCCTGCCGCACGAAAACCTCTTCGCTTGCTTCGAGGCGAGATCACATACGAAGCTGCAAAGGAAGAAGATGCCCATATCCTCCACCGGCTGGGCTATTGGGATTAAGGGACTCAATTTTTGCCCACTTGTACTGGAGTCGCGGACTGATCGGACAATTGCGGCCCACCATCTCGGTCTCGCTTCTGCAGACATCTACCATGTTGATGATGTGGAGGACTGGACACATGCGGAGGCTTCACTGTTTGTATTCGAATTGATGTTGGTGACCAAGGACAAGATGCTTGGAGACAGTTGATGATCCGATTTCCCTTGACTTACCGAATTGGCGAGAACTGCCGCCCAAGTAATACGGACGAGACAGGTTCGTTGTGAAGCAGGAACCTACGCATGGCCCCAAGAAAAATGTCCGTCTGTTCCTATTCCACGTCTTTATGGGTCTGGGCTATCCACTGGTCAAACAGTGTACCAATTTTACGTATATTTGAAGAAGAACGATTGCTTACATCCCCTAGTTCACGCTTCTCGACAACCTGCCTTTATAGCCTGGACTGTTCAAGGCTTGCGCCGTCGACTGTTAGATTGGCTAGGCTATCCCACACCATCTCAATACCTTAAACATCAAACCAAAGATAAGGTCGCGCTGGACACACCGTATCATTTGATTGAAAATATCACACCATCGAGGCCAAAGTGCGTCCTGGAACATGGAAGGCCACTCAAGCTGCGCAAGAGCCTTTTCCATAGCATCCCCCGCATCATGATAGCTTTGGCACTTACTCCTCTGCCAAAGATTGGTTCCTTCGTTTCGACGAGAATAGGTTCCTGATTTTGAGTAACAGGCCCTGAAATCCAACAATTCGAAAATGAACATATTCCAATGGACATACCCGAAAATATTACCCACACAGCTGTCTACTCTTATGTCAATGATATCCTCGCATTTCAAGAAAGTCGACTTCGTCACCAGCCTAATATCTGGCCTTGCTTTGTTTTTGCCGAGATGTCCTTCGAGGCTCATTCTTTCTTAACCTCACTGATCTCAACTAGTCCAACATCTTTGTCGACGATGGTTAGAACATCCAGTGCCTTATCGATCCGGAGTGGACATGCTCTCATCTGGTGGAAATGATTCAACCACCATACCGATTGACGAACCAGGCTATTGATTTGATCAGCATGGATGACTACCAAATTCTTCACGGAGAGTCCATGGAGCTCTCTCAGAGGAGAAAATGAAGATCAAGCTGCCATTCCGCCTCCACCCCACCTTGCATGAGGGATGGGGGAGAGGGACGGTTTGGTTCTGTCTAGCCCTGAGTAGTCCCACGGCATTTTTCAGGGTATTTGACGACCATATTCAACCGAGGTTCTCTAAAGCTCACGAGGGACCAGCTTTCTGGCAAATCACTATGCCTTACTGGACATTCAATGCCTTTCAGTTTATTAAACACAGAGTCAAGGATAAGGAGCAATACGATGCCTCAATGCATGAAGCATTCGAATCTAGGAGTTCACATGGCTAGCCAGACAGAATCCGATCATCTCCGCCAACCTTGTGGTATAAGGGAAAGCGACGGAGCAAATCGGTGGGTCTCAGGTTTAAGTATTGGATACATTCTATAAGCGCTCATTACTCACAGACTTACCACGTACCCTGCAAACTTCGGCTGATTCGAGAGCCGCACTCGCTCTATAGGATACGAGAACGTAGAAGTGACGATATGAGTGATGAGTCGTGCGTCTTGCTGACCGTTCCAGGTGGCTAATTTCTCATGCGGTCGTAGAAGTCTATGGCCAGGCACCCTAGAGATGAGGCAAATTCGCCTAAAGAAGCTCATACACACCCATCCTCCCGTCAGACTTCGCAACTACTTCTTTGTGTGGCTGTTGGTACCTCGGTCGACAAATGGCCCTTTGCAGTTAAGGGGTGGACAAATGCACGCACATCACATATAGCAACTAAAGATCCATTGAGCCATGACTCAGATAAAGCGCTGCAGGACCATTGGCGCAGCCATTATTCTAGCAGTCTATAAATATAACAAGCATTAAAGTACAGAGTAGTATTTTATCATTTCTGCGTATTTATGATCTCATGAAAGTTAATTGCTCGGGAGCCACTTCCTGCCTGAGGCACAAAGGTCTTGGCAATGTATTCCCGAACAACTATAAATGCCTCCCAGCAGTGATGTGAAATTCCTAGGATTTTTACTCTTGGTACTTTTCTGGCCTTAGAAAGAGTTGAATAAAAGTGCAGCATGAAGTCCTGACCATCTTTCAGATGTATCGCGGAGAATGAGCCGTGAGATAGGTGGGATACGGAAATCGACTCACTATCTTCTCTATTTGATCGGAATAAGCAGCCGCCACAGACAGCGAGTGGCCAAAAAGGGATCTTCAGCCACATTTGTTGTAAGAAATGTTTATGTAGGTAGCCTGCAAGGGCACTCGGTACGGGTACCTTGGACCTTAGAAAAAGTGTTGGGGATTCAACAGAAGGCGAATCTACTCTTATTGGCGGATTTGATAGCCCCTAGTCCGAAAGCGGAAGATTCTAGCCGTCGATTCGCCATCAGATCGCCCGCCCAACAAGCTTATGGCCCAGATAGCGGTCATCGTTCTATATCCAGGCTTTGTATGGTCGGTTGCAGATTTGACAGTTGGAGGCATCCAAATTGACAGAAGCTGTAGTTTGATAATGAGGTTGTCCTCCGTTTGACCTCGGAACCTCATGATCACAGGCATCTGATGATTATCAGTCCACCTGTTATCCTTCTCCGTCCATCCCCATCCCGTCTTCTTTCATCATAGCAGCATCTCTCCGCCCTGCATTGTCCGAGTCTAATCCGTTCGTTGCCCCAACCATCATCAGCTTGTGGACCCTGGGGTGAATGTAGTTGAACGGTCAAGTTCTCCTTTGCCAGTCTTTTCCGACTGCTCACTACTTTTTTTCGCCTTCACGCTTCTTTTCTTCCCCACCTTCAGTCTTCTTTGCCTTTTTAATTCCTTCGTTCCCGCGTCTTCTTTTTAAGAGCCTTGCTCCCCCATCAACCTGCCATAGCCCCTTCGGTTTGGCAACCATTAAGTGCGGACGTTCTTTCCTCGCACATACACATCCGACCCGAAATTAGAGGACTTGAAGAGAAGCGCAAAAAGGTCGGCAACATGTCTGCGAAGCCTGCAGACGCTTCTCGCCCGCGGGCTGGTGACCCCAAGAAGGTCCATATTGCCGACACGGCCATCACTCGTCAGAACTGGTACAAGCATGTCAACTGGTTGAACGTCGTCCTCATCATTGGTATCCCCGTGTACGGGTGCATCCAGGCTTTCTGGGTGCCTCTGCAGCTCAAGACTGCCGTCTGGGCCGTTATCTACTACTTCTTCACTGGTCTCGGTATCACAGCAGGTTAGTTGCCACAGACTCTTATGTCCTGGGAATCCCTAGCAATACTAATGCCTGATGTGCAGGATACCATCGTCTTTGGGCTCACTGTTCCTACTCTGCTCGTCTGCCTCTCCGTATCTGGCTCGCAGCCGTTGGTGGTGGTGCAGTAGAAGGCTCCATTCGCTGGTGGGCTCGGGACCACCGCGCTCACCACCGTTATACCGACACCGACAAGGACCCCTACTCTGTCCGCAAGGGTCTCCTTTACTCGCACCTCGGCTGGATGGTTATGAAGCAGAACCCCAAGCGTATCGGCCGTACCGACATCACAGATTTGAACGAAGACCCCGTCGTCGTGTGGCAACACCGCAACTACCTGAAGGTGGTCCTGGCGATGGGGCTTGTCGTGCCCATGCTCGTGGCCGGTCTCGGCTGGGGTGACTGGTGGGGCGGTTTCATCTATGCCGGTATTCTGCGTATCTTCTTCGTTCAGCAAGCCACTTTCTGCGTCAACTCTCTGGCCCACTGGCTCGGCGATCAGCCCTTCGACGACCGCAACTCCCCTAGGGATCACGTTATCACCGCTCTGGTCACCCTTGGCGAGGGTTACCACAACTTCCACCACGAATTCCCCTCGGACTACCGCAACGCCATTGAGTGGCACCAGTATGATCCTACCAAGTGGAGCATCTGGATTTGGAAGCAGCTTGGTCTGGCCTATGATCTGAAGCAGTTCCGTGCCAACGAAATTGAAAAGGGTCGTATTCAGCAGCTCCAGAAGAAGATCGACCAGAAGCGTGCCAAGTTGGATTGGGGTGTCCCTCTTGACCAGCTTCCCGTCATGGAGTGGGATGACTATGTTGAGCAGGCCAAGAACGGCCGCGGACTGATCGCTATCGCTGGTGTTGTCCACGATGTGACCGATTTCATCAAGGACCACCCTGGTGGCAAGGCTATGATCAACTCCGGTATTGGCAAGGATGCTACTGCCATGTTCAACGGTGGCGTCTACTACCACTCGAATGCCGCCCACAACCTGCTGTCTACCATGCGTGTCGGCGTTATCCGCGGCGGCTGTGAAGTGGAGATCTGGAAGCGTGCTCAGAAAGAGAGCAGCGAATATGTCCGCGACGAGTCTGGTCAGCGCATTATCCGCGCTGGTCAGCAGGTCACCAAGATCCCCGAGCCCATTCCCACCGCTGACGCGGCATGAACATTTCCTTACCACTATATCTCATTTTCCTCCTGTATTTATTTTATGACTGCCGCTGAGTTTCGAGCGTATTCTCCCCTGTTCTCTCATCTCACATCGTGATGTTCAAAGTCTAGCACATTGTGGGCGTTCTGAAAAATTTTCCTTCCTGTACGTTTGGAGTTGCTGGAGTTGGGTTGCTCGTCACATGCTTCGGCACATTCATGGATCCGTCGAACGATTAGCTGTTCGTCTGAAGTCATTATAAAATGCGAGATACACAGACCTGTTTGAAACGACTGTTAAAAGACATGATACAAATACGTTTCTTCCCATTAAAAAAGAGTAAACCATGGACCAGATCAGTTCAGAGCTGTAGAGTAAACCTACCACGAAAGCTTCTATTTTGATTGAACATCAAAATGGCTAGCATCGGGATTCAATGATCGGTAGGAGATTTACGACAAAATCAATAAACCAAGGAACAATTCTGGGACGAAGCTCCGTGAAACACTGAAATGAGGGGATGCACTATCTCATCTTGGTTAGTCTGCTGCAGCCGAGCTAAGCAACAGCATACTACTTTAGCTGCTACAGCAGCACACCATAGCGTCTGAATATCGTCCATATCCTCGTCTTTTTCGTAGTTGCACGGATATGGGGACTTCCGCGGTAGTCAGAGGGCCCGAAAGTTTAAGGAGTCTATCCACGTTGTGTC